GGTAATGAAACGTTTGCAAGAAAAGAACCAAGCTCAGAGAATCCCAAGGACTCCACAGTCCAATATATACTGAATATATTCTCTCTCTTCAGACTAACAAGTTTGGGAAGGTTCTAGCTAAGTAGCATGTTCAAAAGTGCAGGATCTGATGAATACATTCGTATAATAGGCAAGATAAACATAAAAACTATGACATAAAACACTAGGATCATAGAGTTTTAATATTAATTGTAGTAAAAGAATTATGTTCACTGCCAGCTCCCTATTCTTGATTACAGCATACAGTCTCTGCAGTTAATGCAACTCCAGAAAGGGAATGTCGAGGGCACCACCCTGTTCTGTTTTATTGGATGAGTTTCTATTGTTGAGCCTGAAGTGTTCAGACTAACACTATGTGCTCAACCCTTGCCTTTCTTGGATTATTAAATCCAATAGGGAGGGGCTGTTTTGGCTAGATCCAAGAAACTGTAAATGCCTAAGTGAGAGAGGGAGTAGTTCCAGCCTCTTCAAAAGAGACAATTATCAGTCCATTTCTGAAGAAACCAGATCTGGACCCAGAGGATGAAACAACTATAGCCAGTGGCCAATATTCTCTTCTTTGACAGGGTGTTTGAGCAAGTGGTAGTTATCAGCTCCAGGCTCTCTTGGATGAGACTGATTTTATAGATTCTTTTCAATGTGTTTTCACGCCTGGTTATGGAACAGAAATTGTTTTGGTTGCCCTGTGGGATCATCTGTGCCATAAAAAAACCAGACCAAATCAAACCAGGGGAAGTACAACCCTGCTACTTCTCCTGGACCTCTCAGAAGCTTTTGATTCCATCAACTAAGGTATCTTTCTGGATAGGCTGTTGGAGTTGGGGGCACTGTATTAGAGTTGTTCCACTCCTATTTAGATGGCTGATTCCTCATGGTAGTTGAGCTGTGGAGTCCCTTATGGTTCTTTTATCCCCCATGCTCTTTTGAGCTAAATGATTGTTTTCAGGTTAATGACTATACTGGCTGCTGTATTAACTGTTTTTGTTGTTGTTGTTAGGCATTGTGAATGCCCTAGGTTGAAAACTTAGAATATAAATCAAAATAATAAATATACTGTGCAACACCAGACACAGAGCTGCCAACAGCAATTAAAAAAAAAACAATGCGGACTTAATTGAAAATTATGCTGTTTTACCCATATCAGATTTTGGAAACAATTATCACTATGCATGTTTAATGAAAACTGTTCTCATAGTTGCCAACTTCTGCTTCTCAAGTAAATCCTGACTTATATTTCTGGGAAGCTATTCCAAACAATTATTTAATGAATTGCTCACAGAAAGTTATATTACGTCAGTGTCACATCTTGTTTTGTTTAAAATGAAA